TCGAACCAGTCTGCAACGATCGTCTCTCACGTCGTTTCACCCTTCCTCGCGGTGTCCGCCCGGGTCGGCTGCGTCCCTCCCGCCCTTCGCGGCGGCTACCCTTCGCAGGACATCGGAGGAATGTCGTCGGAGGAGGATTAGATTTCCTTCGGAACGTCCACGGAACGAGCGGGATATAAAATTGGGATTGAACCATGAAACGAGTCCTACGACTTCGGAAACGCAGTTCCTCAAATATTTGATAAATTGATCGCGTTGTTAAATTGCGATTAAATTCTTTCATAATGCAGTTCGTGGTTGCAACACACCGCGGATCAACAAGTCTAATCGGCGACAGTGTGTGGGAATAAATGCAAGATGCGAAAAAGAAGAGAGAAGCGATAATACGCGCGAAGCTCGTTTCCACGCGAAAATACGATCGCGCGTATGTTATCGTGCCAATTAACAAATTGGAATGGTCCCTCTGGATACCCGATGACGGCCGTTCATTGCCATAACTGTCCCGCGCATACCATAACTGCTGCTCGGACACGCAGCGGCGAAAAACGACCAGTCCGAAGAAGAGCCAACAGCCACGAAACGAAAGTAGACACAAGCAAGAACAAAACCAAAGCCTATAAAAAGTAATATTTACAGAAGGTTATCGGCCATATTTTTCATTTAATAATATGTAAATCAGATACACTTTTTTTAAAATAGGAAATTGAGTTCAATCGGGTGTCTCAATGATTTCGACATAAGACAAATTCATTTCTCTAGTCGTTCGTTACACAAGGTTAATAAAACACTTTTGAATCGAACCATTACTTCCAGGAAATAAAAGTTTTATCAAACGTATAAATATAGCACTGATGTTGCAACTAGTCAACTAATTTATCCTCAGGGTGTAAAAATAATCGTACGGGATCGAAGAAATCTTTTTGGAGCAAGGCACGCGAGGTTATTGGCTGGTAAAGCTTACTTGAACGTTAATAACAAGGTCGTTTCACACCGGATACTCGATTGCGCGGTGGCAGCATGCCAATAACCCTGCGCGGCTCCATAAGGAGTGCGTTTTAGGTAATTGGCCGTGAATATTATCTTACTCAGGGGTTACTCCGGACCAGGAAGGTCGAGAAAGGGAGAACCAAACTCTGATACCTTCACCATACCCAGGAGGGGATTTCCTTTTTTTAGTGGATCACCCACGTGCCAGTGAAGCAATACAAGTAATGATCGTGCTTTAAGGATCACGACAAAGTGGATGGCAGCGTTCGTATCGATTACAAAATTTATAAAATTGAATGAAAAGTTGAAGTTGACGCCGTAGAGAGTAAAAAATGGAACATATCTCGACTGAAGAAAACTGTTTTATCGCAGGCTCTAAATTATTTCCAGCTTCCGTAATCATACGTAAAAGGAAAAATTACACGAACTTCGCGATGTATAGAAAATAACAATAATAACCCGCTTGTGGTTCGGAGAAGTAATATTCCCATCTTGGGATTGCAGCCAAGTTCGAAAGTTCGTACGTTTCAATTAAAGAGTTTTTCGAGTCGGGTCTAAGGAGAAGTCCGCGACCTTGGCGCGGCGCGGCGTCGAGATTAATCACACACCGCAGCGCGTTCCTCGGCCAGCCGGCAATTAATTAAATGGTCACGGGTTAGCCAGAGCAGCTCTATTCACGAGATAGCTTTATCAATGCCGTTTCGCGTTTGCCACCGGTCGCGCAGCGTTTCTCGTTCGCCGCGAAACTGAGAAAATTCCTTGCTAATGTATGCGCGAACGTAGTAGCCCGAGGCAGCGGCCGGAGGCGGCGGCGGCGGCGTCGCGGCGTGGCGTAAATCAGCTGAGAAATAGAGTCAGGTGCGAGACACAGCGTGGGCGTACTGGATGCTACGCCACGCCAATAAAACGCGAGCCAGTGGCACGGGAGTTTGCTTACCTTCGAATTGGGAAAAAGAGAAATGAATTCCGGCCTGACGCGTCGGATTTATCAGGAAAGAGTTATACGCTCACTTATGGACAGCTGTTCTTGCCTGTTAAATAGTTGGCCTGACCGAAAAATTGTTACGCTTCAATGGATTAATGATAATTTATTATCGTCGGGTTAGATCGGGTCGTCGCTCGAAACGCGTTTCCTGTTGCTAATCGAAGCAAGCAAAAAATCACATCCTATTACCAGTCGATTTCGCACGGATTTTTTTGCGGAGAATCGAACGGCCTATTTGAATATCTCAGCTCTGACTGGTTTTTATTCCACGTTTCTTTGAAAAAGTGGACTACTTTTTATTTAATTACTGAGCGCAATAAACGTCTGTTCTATCGTCGATTTTATACGGAATAACTTGTTTCTCCCATGACAAGAAAATTAATTTATCAACAATCAGACAATCAAGATGAAGAATTTCAATTCCAAAATCGATTATAAGCTTGAATTAGGATTGTCAATCTCGTGTTTACGGGCACTGCTGCTTATTAGTTGTGACGTCAATGTTTGCGATAGCGAATGAACCTGTTCGATTGATAGTTATTATCAGTAACAGGTGCGTCAGCGACAATGAACACGCGTTGAGCAGGTCCACGATTTTTTTCTAACACTCTCATTCTGCCCTCGATCGCGTAATTAGATAAGTGTTCCATACATCGTAGCGGTACCGAATTCTCTTACTTGCTCCGGCCACAGCTGTTACAAACGAGCCTCGTTTTCATTGCCGTGACAAACAACCGCTCCTTATCGAGCGTTTATTACACGTAGCAAAGTAGTATAGCACGGTATTGCATCGCGCGATAAAACGCGCGAGCAGAGTGACGGGTTGCGGCGGATAACGACAGATTGCGAATGCAAAATACGGCGAAAATTAATTGTCCGACCGAACGTTCCCCGATGAATGTCGCAATCGTAAAACTTGTGAGAGCATGCAGATTAAAGCACGTGCGTTTCACAGGAAGCTCCAATACCGATCCGCGAGCCAAATACGTACAGCCAAAAAATAATAACATCAAAAGCTCTTTTCGCTGTTTGTGCATGGGCTTCGGTGTTCGGAGGTAGAGAAACGAGTGGAAACAAAGCGAAAGGGAAGAATGTCGACGAAAGAGGCTAGGGAGGCTCGTTAGAGGCGCGGAAACATAGACGACTAGGAAAAAATCAGGATAAAGGAATAAGTTGGAGGACCAGCGCGGTGCGGCGCGTTGGGCCGGCGCGCGGCGTGCGCAGCGTCGCGCGTCCTCGTGGGGCGTGAAACACTTGAAAATCCCGGTTATGCAAAACATAGGAAAACGGTCCTCCAAGCCAGGACGTTAGGTGGAACACGTAATTGAAAGCACTTTAGAGACCCTACGGCACGCACAACGAGCACTCGCATTTGCATTCAGTGGCGGAGGGAATGCTTTTTAACCGAAATGACTGCGTGTATATGACAAACGCCAGGTTTATGTGCCGGAACGATGGGAATATTTATTGGCACGAATTAATGTCTCCACTCGTCCGTGCCGGACGTTATATTTATTGGGTTATTTCGCACCGGCCAAATAAAGTCAGCTATACTCGATGGAAAAAAAGGATTAATTGGAACTATCCAGTTACGTTTGCTCGCAAAATTCGGCGCCTTATTCCTGTTCTACCCGGTCGCCCGTGTTTCCGTAACCAACGACGTCATTTGTATATGAAAACTGTTGAGGTAATTCCACGCTTCGTTCTCATTCGACAAAACAGTAATACAATTGAAAGAGTTTCTAATGAAATATTGAGTAGCTAAAACAGGGGATGATAATTTCATGCAATGGTGTTATGAAATACTGTTGAAGCGAAAGCCGTTCTTTTAATACTAATAGGTTAAAAATACTGAGATTTGGCTTAAAGTTGATTTGTTGCTCTATCACACGATTGATATATTTATCTGAGATTTTATAACCAATTTTGTAAAAGAATCGTGGTTTCTTTATCTTCTGATAAGATTTTGTACTTGGAAATAATTAATCAAGCTGTATCCTGAGATCGGTTGGAAGAGATCGAAACAGAGATAATAGCATAGGTGAACAGAAGTAAGGAGAAACTAGTGAGCGTACTACGCATAGAGTGCATGCAGAGTGCACAGTACAGAGTGAAACTGTTTTCCGTGGAAGAGATGATTACCTGGTTGGTTTGGTTTAATAGCTGTTCGATATTCGTTTAATGGGATCGTCGATGGAAATTTGAGCAGATAAAAATAAAACACAAACAAATGATGTCTTAATTAATATACATATGTATATTTATGTCAATATGCATCGTCGTAAGTACCACAGCGAATCGTTGCCGTGGCGAACGTATTTACATTACAGAGCTTGCGGATTTGAAAACTCCACGATTACGAATTATCGGTAATTTGTACAAAGCTTTAATAACTATTCTCTCACACTCTCCCTCTCTTTCATTCTGCACGAACGTATGCACGAGACGATAGGATGACGTCGCGTGGAAAAGAAACGAACAAGGTAGGAGGCTCTTTATTATTTTGTATTTTGATTCATTCGCCCTTCGTCGCCTCCGTTCGTTCGAACGTCACAGATCGGTTGAGATTAGTCGAAGTCTCGATTTCATTTCGAGTTATAATCGTATACGTCGCTATACAAAAACGCGCGATCAGAAATCGCTCGGTCCTATAAACAGTCGAACTGTCCCGAGAGACAGGTGTCGTTGGGTGTTCGAATGAAGATAAATGAAGGATAACGGAAATGGAATGAAATGAGTCGTAGGAAAGAACGATAATCATAATAATTACAATAATAATAACATGTTACGAATAATAATAAAAAAAGTCACATTAATAATATTAGTAATAAACAATAATAATAATAATAATATTTTTAAATTTACAGTAATAATATTAAACGTAAGGACATTAATAAAATATCATTTATAATAATATGGTTTCTTGCGGGTCACGGAGATCTGTTGTTTCGGTTTAATTTTGATACAAAGTCCCTTCTCTCTCTCTCTCTCTCTCTCTCTCTCTCTCTCTCTCTTTTTCTTTCTTTCTTTCGCTCTCTCATTCACTCTCTCTTTCTTTCCTCTCGCGTGACCAAGGAGTGCCTTTTACAAATATATACAAAAACCGGGAGAAGAACTGGGATGAGGTTGATGATCAACGACCAATCTACAACTTATTGTCACTCTCGCATACGAACGCACAGTCTCTCTGTGAACACCGAAAGGGTTTCGTAATCTTATGTGGGCAATATTCGCGAGATCAGCTCCGATATGCAATAAATACTGTTCTCGGTCGTTCTTCCGCAACTTATTTCACTTAACCGATCTTTGCCCCTTTTTAATTTATACACAACCGTGAATTTATTTCCCCCTGGGCGTTTGATTTTCTTCAGGCGCCGTTTTTCACGCATGCCATGCATACTATCTCGCAGTCATGTACATTTGCGCTCTTCCTTTCTTTCTCTGCTCTCCGTTATATGCATATCTATTTATTTATATATATATTCATATATATATATATATGTGTTCGTGTGTATGTGTGTGTGCAGCAATAGTCATCGTCCTGCGTCCATCCGGTCGTTTCGTTGATCCCTTGACAATTTGGGAACGATCTCCCACGATACGCGAAGAATAGTCGCTATCGAAACCGGCGAAGGTAGCAATGAGATGGACGTCGAACGAATCGTCAACAGAACGGGAGAGAGAAAAAAGGAATATATTGCTAACACGGAAAATATAATACACGTACCTCTTTATCTTTATACGTTCATTACGTTCTTTTTATATTTATATATATATTTATATGTATACTACTTAATATATATTTGCATACATGTATATACATAAATATTCATTTACATAAATATTCATTTACATATGTAAATAAATATTTATTTATATAAGTGCTGAAGGATGATCGCAATACACAATACGAGAGCGTCGAAGAGAGGAAATAATAAGAAAAGCGTTGACCATGTCGCAATTTCACTGTATATGTGTATACAATTTACACTTGCGTGTATGTAAATAAATATGTGTATACATATACGCAATATAAACTATTATATTTCTTACTGCTTCCTTTCTTGGACGCTTTATTAATTATCTATCGCGATCATCCTTCAACGCTAACCCTCTTCCTTTTAGCATCCCCTCTCTATACCCTGGACACTTATTTTCTTATGCGCGTGATTCGTCGTGCAGCGTACAATTTTACGATTTCTTTTTTTGTTGTTTTATCACAGTAAGAGGTTTAATTCCTCCTTTTCTCTCTCTGTGCGTTCCTTCCTCCGTACTGAACTCGCTATTTACCCGGGGCCGACGAATCGCGAACCGTTCGCGTCGACCGGTAATCGAGATGCCATAACGAGAATGTCCCGACGAAACGGAACCGTTTCCTCGCGCCTCTGCATCGACGGTAAAAGTAAAAAGGAACGCTCTCAAACGAATCGCCGGGAAAGAACGTGGGAGCCGGAGAAGCGCAGATTCGTCGCAAGCTTGGGAAAACGAGCGTATATTCTATCAGAACGGCGTTCGATAATAAACTGCATACGAAACGACATTAGCGGGTTATTATTACGTTTCTCTCGGTTCGTTTCTTTGTATACCTGATTCGACAATCTCTCCCCGATGGATGATGCTCGCTGTGCCTGACACGAGCTCTTGACGTCTCGGATCGTATACAACTATGAACCGTTTACATATCGATTAATTCTATTTTCCTTTCCTTTCTCCTCTTGCTCCGTGTGTGAAATTTTCTCCCGAGGTTGCGAGAAACCTTTTGCGATCCTGTCTCGGCCCCCACGTCCTCGAGTTTCTCCGTGCACGACAGTCTCGCCCACTTTCGCATACGATTTTAGTCTTTTCTCTTTTTTGTTCGTGTTTTTCGTTTAATTATCGCATGTTTTTGTCCCGTTCTCCGTCACTTTCTCAAAGGAGTCCAGTACGTACAGCTGTCCGTCCGAGCTTGTCACTCTAAGCTATCCTGCGAGGTTATTGGTTGCGTTAGGTATCGGGGCTTATTTTGCAATGTTTGAAGTTTGATAAAAATTCGAATAGAGGATGAGTCACAAGAAACCCTCGCGAGATGGCCAGATTTTCGCTCGTTCCTCCGGGGAGAGTTTTGACTACGACGGTTCGTTTCTACGTTCGACGATCGATTGTTCCTCGGTGAGACAACGACGGTCGAGAAGCGAGCGTAAAGGGGACTGTCGACGAACGATGCAACGACGAACGGGTGTCAATGATCAAGGAAAAACGGCCGACGAGGTTCTCTTGACTCAACTCATCTCGATACGTTTAAACTCAACATTCATCTACTGACCGAAGATCGTGAAACGAATTTTGAGTTTAAACCGCTCGAAATTCCCTACGTTCTGGACCCTGAAGTAGATGATCGCGGCGCGCGAATCGAAACGGAAAATAAGAGGTATGAGAACAAGAATGTAACAGAGGCGATTAAAAAGTAAGGCGAGGAAAGTTTTCTTTCGCATTGAAGAAACACGTGAATCTATCCAAGAAAGAGAGAACAAGGATACGTGTATAAAGAGAAGAGAAAGGAAGAAGGAAAGAGGGAACACGGGGGAGCAAACAAAGCTGAACAATCGCTTCGCATCATGCTCTTACCACGTCGAACGAGTTTCTCTGTTTACCTACCGCGTCGGACGACCATCGTCGCCTCGGTAGACTCTCGTCGTAAATCTTTCCAAATATCGTTAACTTCGAGATTAATTGCTAGCTAGACGTTCGAACTCTCTGACTGGTGTTACAATATACGGAACGCGATTATTCTTCCAACCGAATCAAAGGAGGAGAGAGAAAGGGACACGAAGAAGAACGATAATGCCCTTTCTATATAGCCGTTTAGTGAAAAAAACCACGATATCTTTTGATGCGTCGATGAAGAATTTTAATTGTTCTAAATAGAAGGTGGAAAGCTGCTGCGAGCAAAAGGTAACGACGATAGTTCCTAATGCTAACTGGATCATGCGTGGTCTTCGTGATATCGCGAAATCTCAGTACGTAACAAATCTTGTTCAGTGTTAACTTGCCACTGGCACGAACTATAGGTACTGACTTGGGGCTAAGGCTTGACTAGCGTCGGAAGTCGTTGCTAATTGTTAGATACTCAGGATTGATCATTAGGGTCCAGAAGTGGAAATATCGTCGCGATGGTGTTAGTATGCGTACATGGGGCGTAAGATTTGTGACTGGAAAGCGTGGTGAGTTGCTTTTCAGGGGGTGGTTGCGGCACGACCGACTGGGAACGTGATTTCGCTCCGAATCGGCTGTGATGCTCCACGCTCGAATTTATATAGTTATGTAATAAATTGAAATTATTATATTTTGTTCGAAAACAGAAGTAAACCAAAAAACTCGAGCCTGGTAGCAAGCTACATCGCTAAGTAAAAGAAGGATAAACCGAGTATCTAACTTGCGGAAGCTAAGTATCATACACTACTCTAATTATCATACGAGAATCACATGAATCGAGGACGGATGTCGCCGGAGCGCATCTTAAAAACATAACTAAGCGTATTTATCCTTCTTACGAATGTAACGGGAATGCAACCGATACTTGCTCAATGAAAAAACTACGAACATTAAATCTCGATCTATTGGTACGTTCATACGTAACCGAATTATGACAGACTTCTTCGTAGAGCAAGGCATCGATCGGATGTTTAAAATCTACGCCCGTAAGCAGGCAAGGTGTAACGAATAGACAAATAAATCTCAGCTTACATATGAGTGAGAGGTGGAATGGAGGAGTGATGCTGCCCGAGCGGATCCGGCGACGGTCCAGGCGAGTAGACGCCGGCTCCGTGTTGCACGACTCCCTGCTCGACGCCCTGTGGCAGATACATCGAGATCATCTGCCGTAAGTCACCCTGCGTTTGCTGCGTCTGTTGCTGACCCATGTACTCTCGCTTGACGACTTGTCCACCGGCCCCGCCCGCCGACGACGATCCGGTCGGCGTCGGCGTGTGAATACCGCCGCTGGCCGGACTCGTCGGCTCCGATTTTATGCTGCTACCGCTGGGACTGTGACTCGACATCTGAGATCCGGGTTGGGCTTGATGATAAGGCGACGGCGAGCCACCGGGCACGGTGGTAGTTCCGTAACCACCGTAACCGTTCATGTAGCTGTTTATGGGACTCGGGCTGCCACCGCCCATGTGGTGTCCCATATCGTACCGCGGATACCCGGCCGCTGAGGCTGCGGCCGCGGCCGCTGCACCGCCCATGTGACCGCCGTACGCGACGTGTTGCTGATACGCGGCCGTCGGATCGTGCATCATGTAACCGTTCGGCATGTAACCGTTCGGCATTTGATAAACGTCTCGCGACAATTGCGCCTGCTGTGGACCACCGGCAGATCCAACTTGCCGTTGATCGACGCCCAACATCCCGCTGACTCCAGCTACACCTCCGCCGAGCGGGAATTTATCCTTCTTCAGCAGTGTTTTGGTCTTACGTCGTGGCCTGTACTTGTAATCGGGATGCTCCTTCATATGAACAGCTCGCAGCCGTTTCGCTTCGTCGATGAACGGACGTTTCTCCGTTTCACTGAGTAGCTTCCACTCGGCGCCCAATCGTTTCGATATCTCTGAGTTGTGCATCTTCGGGTTCTCCTGCGCCATCTTGCGTCGTTGCCCGCGGGACCACACCATGAACGCGTTCATCGGCCTTTTCACACGATCAATGTTGTTATTCTTGCTGGTGTTATTATTGTTATTCGGCGGCTGGTGATGTTGCTGAGGCTGTTGTTGCTGTTGCTGTTGCTGTTGATGCGGGTGATGCTGTTGCTGCTGACTAGCGCTCTGTTGAGCCAGCGAGTGCATGCTCTGCTGTTGTTGCTGTTGCTGTTGTTGCTGTTGCGCAGCCTGCATCGAAGCGTAGTGATGCTGCTGGGCCTGGTGATGATGCTGCAGGCCCAGGCCGAGGCCTCCGGTGCTCGGCGGGCTTCCGGACAGCGCCGGACTGTGCACTATCGAGCCGAGGCTACCATACGGCGAGACACCGGTATGGTGGCCCATCGGCGATACGCCCTGGTGAGGGTGCGGTGGCATCTGACCGTGCAGGCTGCCGCCCTTCAGGTCCGTCTCCATCGTGAGCATGTCTTCCTCCCTGTGGCCGTACAGTTTGCCGCCCTTTCCTATTACCTCTCGACGCCAAGAAATTCGACGAAACGCCGAGTAGGATTATATGCACGGCCGAAAAGTTGTTATCTTGTCGACGACGACGTGGTCTCCGGCGCGGTGCACCGCGTTCGTTCCGAACCGGTTAACACTGCGCGACGAGGAACCCGCTTCTTTTCACACCTCGATTGCGTGACATGGAAGCCGATTCTTCTGATCCTATTTCGATCATGCGAGATTCCTTTATCTTCGAACGACGCACCACTTGTTGGAATTAACCGCGGCGACACGATCACCGGTCACTGGTTCACTTCCGTTCGTTATCAGTCACTATCTTTGCAGAGACTACCGAGTTACTGAGTAAGGTCTGTTTTTAAGGATTGTCGAGAGCGTTAATTAGGATTAGAAATCCTCGCACGTTTGAGCCACTCTGAATGTGTACCGCGAACGATCTGATAGTCAAGTCAATCGATTACACGATTACCGCGCACTGGTCCCTTATCAGATTCACGGACGAGCATTCCTACGATATCTGACGACGGAAAACAGTCTGGCTCTAAGATAATTACGACTCGAACACGTGTTTGGTAATCACGAAGAGTCACCGTGGTTCCGATCGTTGATCACCGTATACACTCGACTTCTTCAGTATCAACACGGCATTACCACCACTCGTGTACTCCTTGCGGCTCGATCCGGCTGTTCTGTGGCAAGCAACTGCTAAGCGTATGGGCCAAGTCAGAGTCCGACCGAGAACTGACGCACTGTCACTTTCTTCCCTTGGTACGGGTTTCGCCCTCTCCCTCGCTCGTCCGTCTCTCTGTCAAGCTGTACAACTCGCTCGTGACTGGCTGCAGGCTCGTGATACGCTCGACGAATCGGATCGCGACGATGCAACGATACTGCTGGTCCCCGCAATTCGCGTTTCGTACTCGCTCGATTTTCTTTAGAAATCGAGGAAAAACCAATGTCCCAACTGTTTCTTCGACACGGTGTGACACGCACTGAATCCGTGGGGCCGTCGATTACTTCGAACCACTCGTCAACGAAAATCCACTGTCACTGGCCCTGTCCGTCACGATGACGACGGAGTTTCCCCGTCCCACTTAATGGTGCACGCGTGACCCCGTATGTATTACGATACGCACGAACACACGAACGTCCTTTCGTCCGCCGACGTGCACTCCCAGCGATAGCCGATACGATAACCGCCGTGGCGAACGTGGCAATGAAGAACAAGAATAAGAACTGGTAGCAGCGAGCTCCACTCTTCACGAAAGAACGGAACCGTCTGAGCATTTGTGGATTTCGCCTTGGGGTCCCACTCTCGGGGTTCACTTCCTGCCGAGGCGGCTGTCCCCCTCTCTCTGTTCCGTCCGCTCCGCGCTCGCCGCCCCTCCTCGGCGCTACCCTACCTGGCTCGCCACGGCACCAGCAACCATACCCAACGGACCGACGGACCAGATCCGAGCCTACCAACGGCAATCGATTGGCACACAAGCCTGCCATCATTTCTCTCGACCAATCGCGCGGCTCCCACCGACGCCGAAGGCGGCGCCATTACGCCGTGACGTCACACCAACAACCCCGACGACCTCTCGCGGCGACGCCACTACCCCTCTCTCTTCGCTCGACCCCTTTGTTTGATCTCGCTCCGGCCGACTCGAATTTTGACTCCGTTTCTCTCTTTCGGCTTCCTCTCTTCGCCAGCTACACGCGTTCAGCTCTCTCTCTCTCTCTCTTGTCCTATCTCTCTTTGTCTGCCCTCCACCACGGGTCGCCAGTGTTTCATCCACACGATCTTCTACCCGACATTCACCCGTTTCCACCCCCTTCGCTCGACACACACGGAAGCGTCGCCAACGCCGAACCCGGCTCTTCGCGAATTTCCTCCCTTCGTAGTCGCCTCGTGTCGTTTTCCTACACTCCACGCGCGAGAACCGCGCGTGTTTCTCCTTTTTCAACCCCCCCGTCCCGTGGCATCCTATTCGTCTGCTCTCCTCTTCTTTCCTCGTGTCCTCGCCTTCTAGATCAACGTCGTCTCGCGTCCGTCCCCGCGTGCGAATCGTGTCGCGCGATTCGTCCAGTGACCTTCGAATTTTGCGGACCAACGTGTTGGCGTTTCAGCTTTTCCATTCTGTCGATAGTCAGGTGGTTGAAATTCTCGCATGAACACACTCTCCCTTCCGATCAAGGAAGCTAGATTCATCGAAACGAATTAAGGCTACCCAAATGGGACTTGTAACATGTGTATACACACGCTTGAAATAAATAGCCTTGCGAACGTTGAGGATTGGATTCAGTAACATTCCTCAGATAGGCAATAAATATCGTGCTCGACGCTGCACTCTCAAGTGCACGTACATACCAGTACGCTGATTGTATAACTGCGTAGGTATTCGTATCTTATCGGTTTCTTCGCTCGCATCGAACTTTCTTTCTCGCTTGCGATTTTTGCCCTGACGATGAGAGGCTTTGTTAGAATGATTTAAATTATAAAATAAAACATCGACTTTCCGTACTTTATTTCTCATTATTATTCTCTTGTTTATTATCACTTGTTACTACAGTAGTATTGCACGTAAAACGATTTGTAACGATGACGGAGCTCAGGTATCAATACAGAATCTGTCGCAAGTGCTTATTATCAAGAAACACGTCTACTGATAGACTTTTTGCACGTGGTGGCATTTTTTCGTTGAAAGCAAAACCGTTCGGAGTTAATTTAGCGGGGCGCGTGAGCATTAGCTCGTGTCGCGCTTCGTCGTTTTCAAATCTCCCATTATATCCAGTCGACTTGACCCATTTTCTCCTAGTCTCCTCGCGTTCCCCTTTTCCCAGCCCCTCTTTCCCTCATCGCCTTTTTTCCTCGTCATTCAAACTGCTCCTTCGTTCGACCATTCTCCTCCTCGTTCGTGAAATTCACAAAGAGGCTCGCGAGCCATTCCTGAAAGAACCTCCATCATCGGCCGATGCGACTCCGTTTTAAGCGCAGCTCCTGCGTAGGACCTGTTGCCGCGGGCTCGCCGCGCGCCGCGCCGGTCAGACAGAGACGGCGGCGGCCCGGGGAATCGGCGGGCGAGAAAGCATCAGAGAAAGAAGGAACGAAACGCATATAATGGAAGAATGCGTCATAGATAATCGTAGCGCAACCCCGGTGTGCCTCGTGCGTCAGCGACAATGAACGTAACGGCGGCCGGATGGAGTCCCATTCGAACGTTCAGCGCCGTTCAATTTCGACGAATGTCTGCATTTTACTCGTCTATTTTTTTTTTAACCTCCACTCTGTCTCCTACGTTACCCTTTTCTCCGATCGTTTGTTTGACGTTCCTGTGATGAAATTGCTCGCGGACTTGCCCCAAGAACGATTCCTTCCGCTTCTAATCTCAGATAAATTTGCGAATCCCTAGACTTCTCAATAGGAAATATTTTCACAATATTCCACAGCTCGTGAGAAATAAGTTGATTTCATAAGCTACTGCAATTATGCACGGTCGAGAGGACGGCTCGATAAGCCAGGCAAGGCCGTGTAGATAAGATTATCGATGCTGATAAACGAAGTGCAAGGTCCCATCGGATGACTCAATCTACCGATCGATCGATCTTTCTAATCATCGAGGGTGACGCGTGCTCGTTATCTCCGCTGGTGTACGCGGCGCGCTTTCCTCGCGTTTCTATCTCGTGGCGATGAATCTCACGGCGATCACGAGGAGGACTCCAGCCAGCGGAATGGGCAATAAATCAAAACGGGAAAGGGTAATCAGAGGAGCATTGTGACATGTCGCGACAGCGGCCGTAATGAAAACCGCACGAATGACGCGAGCAACGAGCCGCTTTGGCGTTGACTCCGCTTCGTGGTCGTCGTACGAAAAATCTGCGGCTCGTCCGGCCGAATATTAACACGTGCTTACTGTTACCTATGAAAATTTATTGCTAATTGTTACACAGAAACGGCGTACACCGCAGCCACGGTCGGGCATGAACGGTGCTCTTTTGTTTGCCGATCGATGGTTCATCAAGTCCTGTCCTGACCGAGTTCAGGTACCTGTCCTTGCAAGGAGACCTGGCGAGTAATAAAACTGTCCCGGATACCTGTTTAATTTGTAGCCAGGACTAATCAGTCTGGCCAACGAGCCGATTTTCGCCTCGTGCCAACTGCAAAAACTGATATTTTATTACCTTCACTAAACATAAACGAACTGCATTTTGGCACCTATTAACTTGCGGTTATTAGATACACAATATCAGTTCTGTACGGAAATTGCAGGCTTATTTTACAGCTGCAGTTCAAACATACTTGAAATAAACAGTGGATACAACAATAAAGGAGTCTGACTCGTGATCAGAATTTTGTATCAAACATGAATATCATGAGTCTGACTCGTGGTTATAGTCTCATGTCCAACAAGAATGTGCAAAGTTTGCTATAAGCATAAAAGAAACGGGAAATGATCTAGGAATGCATAAGACCTAAATTTTCCCGAGCTGAATGGTACAGCAAGAGGTTAAGATACAATTTTCTGTTTCTTATTTAATTTTTATTACTTCGAACTCACTTTGAATTATCATTTATTTATTTATACGAGCAAATGCCACTTGACGCCATGATTAGTTAGCAGAGTACGTCGATGATCACCTCAGTGATTACGGAGAGTGTAATTGAGAATGAAATGAAATGTTACAGAACAAAGTTACAGTGAGCTAATAAAAATACATAAGTAAAAGACCAAAAAGTAAAGTAAAAAATAAACACAGAATAAATACAAGCGAACGTTCAGATGACGAACAGGACTAAACATAATAATCAGCGGGAGATAGGAGACCGAAAATGATGAAGAGTAAAGTCGTAGTTGCTATTGTAGCCGATAACACCTAATTTTTTCCTATCTGATAATAATCATTCATTTCTTATATCTTCAACGAGTATGAACAAAAATACTGACGGACGGACAACGGCTACCGAAAATGGTAATTTCACCGTTGACAATCTCATTTCGCGGAAAGACAATCACCGCTCACCGGGCAATGAATAGATGCGACGCGGCGTCTCCGCAAATTTCGCGAAAATTATCGCGTCACCGCGCGATGTCCCGCGTAGTACGCACATTGATCGTCGTAGACAATAGCGTTTCGCGCGGGCAAAGTACCATCGCTCTGATGATCGTTCACCGGCAATGATTAACGCCGACTCCGACATCGTTTTCTCCCGCGATCCGTGGTCCCATTTTCGCGGCCGTAAACGCGCCACAAGTGGTACGTAAACCGGGCGCGCGGGGTAAGTGGATTGATAGGTCGTTATCGGATGAAAAGAAAAAAAAAAAGAGGTAGAAAGAAATAACGGAGAGGGAAAACGGTAGGAAAAGACAGAGGCAGAGGATATCGAGGAAGCTAGACAGAGGAGGAACTGTACAATAAGTCGGGCCCCGACAATAGTATACCGCGGGCGGTCTTTGTGATTCAAATCAATGTTTGTGATACTCGATGGCACGCTGCTTTTGTAGCGGTCGAGCTTTCGTTTAAGCGGATACGTAGTAGGTACCTGCGCGTCCGTACGTATCGAATACGCGCGAATTGAATGCTTCTTTCTCCCGATTTCCCTCTCCTCCGTCGAGTTTTTCATTCTATCCGCTCGACTCTGTCTCTCTCCCTTTTTCGCTGTCCCTTTTCTGTCTCTTTTTAATAGGTACGTTTGCACGAGGACGTCATTGTGTCGTTATTACGCGTGCATAATTGGATTTGCAGGTTGCCTGGTTCGAATAGAGCGCCGGTGAACCTACTTGGTTTCAATGCGCACCTTGCGCGCTCCTCAATTCTTGCGCTTATTCTTTGACCATTCATAAAAGCGCGAGATAAAATTCATACTTTCACGATAGTCTCACCGATAGACACACTGTCGTCATTTTCGTCGTAATGCGATTACAGAATGGAAGACGCCAGTTTTGTTGCCGAGAACATTTTTAAACGAATTTCACTTTCACGTCTCAATTCGTGAGAGGATCAAGGCTGAAATCGCGGAAGAATTTAAATGGGCCGAAGTCGCCGGATAAGAAGCGGGAATAGAGTTCTAAACGAAAGTCGGAGAGACCATTTTCGCGTATCGAAAGAGAAACCGCGAGGTGAGCGGCAGTACAATGGCGTTGTGTACGCTATTGTCGTTCACCATTATCTTCATCCCATTAACTGCGTTTATGCGAAGGCGGTCGACCTCCCAGTCGACCACGGTCGAACTGCCTATCGTTTCAAGAAAAAAGCCTCGGCCACCGGCGAGAAGGAACAGTGGATGGCAGAAGCGACGAGCGAAAGAGGTGAGAGGA